ATTCAGTTCTAAAGGCATGAAACTTAAGAGGCATTAATTTTGGAATTAAGTTGAATCTTGTTTTTTTCACCCTTTGAACTTTCCAAACATTTAGGGCATTTTATGAATAGAGAATTAAAAATTTTACATATTAAAAATTTCGGGAGATTATTCTTCCAAACTGCGGGAAATAAATAAGTTGATGTCAGTTGCAAGCGTCGCTGAGCTCAGGATATTTAAATTCAAATTTATAATGGTTCTACAATTCAAAAACCAAAAAAGCAACAAGCTGCAAATTTGACGAGATTGCGAGGGGAATGAATAAAGCTCAAGTCCGCATCCTTGCTTTATCTGGTTTATAATCTCCGACCTAAATTTGAGTCAAACCTAATTTTTGGATAGAGTCAGCCAGGAAATTTGAATTTTGAAGTTTTTTTCTACCATTAGGGCAAATAATATGGTTTGAAATTAAATTTCAAACATCATATTTCCATGTCCTAAAATATTCAAATTACAGGTGGATTTTGAAATTTCAGAACGAACCAAGCAGCTAATCCGGACTTTGGATGCTTTTCATCTGTCGAATCTGTTAAAAGGTCAACATCAAGCTCTGGCTGCATTAATTCATTCACCAGCATGAGCACACGCAGCAGATCACATCAAAACCACAGCCGCCCCTTTACAACACGTACGTTGTTATTTTTGATTTAAAAAAGGAACTTGAACTGAAAATAAAATTTCCTTCCATGAAGAATATACAATGAGGTTGCAATCAAAAGGAATTGGTCGCCCAAAATTGCTGTCTGGCTACATTTTTTTGGGCCGACTCGTTGCTGTCACTCAAAATATGTCATATTTTTGCGGACAGAAATACGAAAAAGATCGTTTCTAATCAGAGTAGTCGTCAAATTTGTTAACGTAGTTTCAGTTTTAATAATTACAAATTAATAGCTGCAAAAAGAAGAAAAATATTTGATAAATTTTACTGAAGGAAGCGTTTTTCTTTTCTGATTTTTCAGGACAATGTGCTGGGAACTGTTCTGTTACTAATTAATTAACACGTTTACAGCAAGAAATTTTTCG